CAGGATATGAATATTACTCCCCAACCGTCAGGAGTACCAGTTGACTTTGAAGTTGTGCGGGACGAAACAGTAATACACCGAAGGGACGCTACAAATTAATTGACATGTCATCCCTATTCAACAAGTGCAATCATGTGCCAAGAGCAATTTTCTTGCTCGCTTGTTGTATACAGTGGATAATCTTCACGCAAGGAGGAGTTGCCCACAGGATGCCAAATCCAGAAGGTTCCGCAGACCTAGAGCTGTTGTACGAAAAGCTCCATGGAGCCAATCAAAGAATTAAGGAATTGGAAAGTAGTTTGCATAATGGCGGCGGTCCGAATTCCATTCCGTCGAATCCAGAAGGTTCCGCAGACCTAGAGCTGTTGTACGAAAAGCTCCATGGAGCCCATCAAAGAATCAAGGAATTGGAAAGTAATTTGCATGATGGCGGCGGTCCGAATTCCATTCCGTCATCGCTACCTGGAAATCTCACTCCGGGAGACAATAATCTATCGGCTAGCTTTTTGGGGGCCAAAATATTGTTCGAGTCTTTGCCGTTTTCGGAAAGCGCCCTCTCGAAACCAATGGTCCTACGAAATTTCATTCGGCGCAAGCGCGTGTTGAACAAGACCACCATTGTGTTGTCCACGCAGACATCCACACGCAAATTCGAAAGGTTGCATCAGCAGTTATTCTACTGGAATGGTCCTTCTTCGATCGCAATCTACATCAAGAGCGAGGACGATCTCCTGAAGTTGGCAAACTTTACTTCTGAACATACAGAGCTCTTGAAAGAAGCTAGTTTTCATCTAGTTATGGAGAAGACAAACTTGCCATACCCAGCGAACATACTACGAAATGTTGCCATGGAAGGGATTGAATCTTTCTACTTTGTGGCCATGGACGTGGACCTAATCCCGCTACCAAAGAATTGTTACAGCGAACTGAGCCTTTCAATGTCGCGAATATCCATGGCCAACAAAACCAAAACTCTCTTTGTGCTGCCCGCGTTTTCGCTGCTTTCAGAAAAAAAGGGGGGATTTGCCAATGCAAGTGAAGTCCCAATAACGAAACGAAAGGCAGTCGCCATGGCAAGGAGTGGCCATATTGAACAATTCCACCTTCGAAGATTTCCTCGAGGTCATGCTCCATCCAGATATCCAGCGTGGATGAAAGCAGACGAAGATGCGGAAGACTTTTATCGAGTCACCATGACCAAGGCTGAAAGCGAGAGATACGAACCCTATGTCTTGGGCTTCAAGCCAGGCGTGCCAAGATATTGGGAAGGTAAGCCAACGCCATCTATGACTCCTCTTGCACTCATTTTGCTCGAGTTGGAAGCTGACCCAACTCACCGGTTTTGACAATTTCTCCGAATCTTGCAACGGAAATGTACAGGTTTCCGGTAAGAATAGAATCATCATTCACAATCATCGTAAACACACACCTTTGACTGACAAACTTGATCTCCTTCTCTTTTCTTCCGATTTTCGGATGGTTTTGTCTGTTGCCAATCTGGTCGTAATGATGAACCAACAGCGGCTTTCACAAAAACAAGATATCTTTCTTCACCGAATGCTATCGAGCTGGCTACACTTATGCCGTACTGACTCAATTCTTTTGCATCCATTTGGATCATCCTGTTATCGAACCTACAGCAAAGAAGGAACAGGCCGCGGCAAGCCGCGAGGTGTGGAATGAGTTTCACAGCGAGTATTTGAATCCAATTTACGGAAAGCCAGCAAAGTAGTGCTGGGAGTTTTGACACTTTCAAACGGAGAGTACGTGGCGATCAAAAGAAATACCATTTTCCAGCAGCACTTTTGTTGGAAAACACATATGACGGCAGCAAGTACGGAATCTTCCTGTGCAGTGTGTGACGTCGACTTCAGCAATCGTAGTCGCGAACTCGCACTGGTACCGTTCTTTCGGACCTGGAAGAGCCAAGAGCTCTGGTTACCACCGATCCAACTCCAGATGTCATGGCCACTGTTACTGGTATTCCCCCGCATGTTCAAGTGGCTTGTCAGCTTTGGGAAATAAGAAAAGATCTGTTGGACCTGCTCCAGGTAAAACGAAGAACGAAGAAGATAGGAAGGGCTCAGAAGAAAAACTTAGGGATGAGATCATTGAGGCAGTTCAAGATAATGAGGCAGTTCAAGATAATGAAACATTCGTGGATTTCGCATGATCAGTATTCTCCACCAGCACCAACTGCGAACAAAAAGCGAACTTCAAAAGATGCCTACGGATTGCAACAGAAAACATCTTGCAATCCTGGCGCGCCTCCAAGGGCAACAACAAGCCGATCCTATTTCTGCAATCCCAGGAGTAGCAACCACAAAAACGGCTCAGCGTCGAATGGTGACATCCTTTGCACCTACATGGACAAGATGTGGTTTGTGCGAGAAAATATCGAATTCCCGCACCAGCCAAACATCTCGCACTCAACTGCACTAATTCGAAGTAGCGACAACAGTTGAAAAAACCATGGAGACGGTTCTTCTCATTCATTGACCAGATAGAAAGAAGTGGGATTCAGGTTGGACACGAGACATCACAAACCTTACAGATTAACAACACCGAAGCGCTGAAGAAAAGATGTGGACAATCTGGATGGCCCGCTTGTCGTATTGCGTCCAAGATAAGCGCAAGTCACCAAAGGGAAACTCGATTTCATCTTGGGGCGTCAAAGGTCCTAAAATCCGAGATACCAAAAAATGGAACCGCAGCTGATAAAGTTTTCATTTCTGGAATTCAAGTCGCTTCAAGGCAGAATATCCGCAGCTATAGGTACAACGACAACGGCTGAATAGCATTTGTGGAGGACTCACCTACGTACAGCAAGAACTCAACAGATTCCAATTTGAAGAGGATAGAGCATCAGGTCGCCGTGTTTGCCGCAAATGTGATGGACATCTATCGAGATGTGGAGACCTCGCCCTTGGGCACTTGATGGACCTGGAGAGAACGGTTTGGCAAAAGCATTCCCACCAACCCGTACATATTTTCCAGTGTGCCATGTTTGAGAAAATTCCACAACGAAGAGAGGTGTTTTCGTCTAAAACTTACATTTACATTAATATGTTGGTTCCTCGTTTCATTTCTTTCGTTTGTTTTGAGTCCATCGGCTCACCGCCTTCCTGTCAAGCGTCCATATTACAGGTTGTACCAGCTATGTAGAATGCAAAACACGCCGGCTGCAAGAGCGGGTGCAATTTTCTCCACGGAGAGAATAGTATCGAAGCATTCAAACGGTAGCATGCAAAAACGCACATTATGCTGCACTTCTTTCATCATCTTCTCCCAATTCAGCAGTACATGTACTGAAACCTTGGATTGTCGGTGATGATATCAGAACAGTTTCGGCCGACAGTTTCCTCGACAATCTTCTTTATGTTTGGGTGTTCTTTCTTGACAAAACCTCGAATTTCCCCCTTCTGAAAGCAGTCACTGATCATGAGCGCTATGTTTGCACGTGTTCGAAAGAAACATATATCTCTACTGAAACTCGTCCTGTAACCGAGAGCCTTCATGGCTGGAAGAATGGACGCGTTCATAAATCGTTCCGAATGCATGTTGAAACCAATCTCTGGTTTCGTTTCGACCCTCTCTTCCATCAACCGGAATCGTTCCGCAGCCCATATATTGACAGCGTCATAGGGCCCATATATCATGCGATCGTTCACTGGCCACTTGGCAAAGTTTGGGATTACAAAATATTCATTCTTGTCATCGAGCCTCCCACCATCAATTGTCATAATGTCCAAAGGAGTCACGTAGCAAACATCATTTCGAAGCATCGCTACTCGCTTGTATTCAATATTGTGACGATTCGCATAGTCAGTCATCAAATCAAATACTGCTTCAATAGAATGCCACTGTCGTATCATGTTGTCCAAACTGGAGTTTTGCCAGTTTGGAGTTTTCCATGGAAAGTACTTTGGATTTCCTTCGCTATCCAGAGTCGTATGATATCGGTGCAAGTCAGAGGCTCTCTTTTCGTAAAAGGTGGCGTTGGTATCACTGGAAAAGAGTACCGTCATTCTGGAGTGATGCTTATCGCTTGGATTTTCTATCAGTTCATTGAATCTCTCAATGACTGCCGCTTTCAAGAGAAAGATTTCATCCGGATTGATGTTTCCACCATCATTGTATCGACCAGCAGCTTCTTGCGTTTGATGAAAGTAGTGAACGAAAATGTCGCAGTGATATTTAGCATTGGGATCTAGAATGTTCGTTTTGATGCTTGGCAGAACGAGTGAAGAATAGGACCTTGGAAGACCAAAAAAGCAGAGTGCGCACCGAAACGTGCCGGGACTGTCGTTCGCAACCTTGGACTTAATCGTAGGATCTGTGTTCACAGTGATGCGATAGCTGTGCGTATCAGGTTCGAAAATGTGGGCTTCTTCCGCCTTAACCACTGGTTGATTCGAATAGGACAACGATGTTGGTGAATAACCCATGGTCGACATGGTTCTAATGGGAGAAGACTCTCGGAACAATAAACTTCCATTTGAGAATGAGAGAATGGAAATGGCAGCACATATCAGGATAAGTCTGCATTGTTTTTGGCGCATTCTCCCATGTTGGAACACCATTTTGCACCTAATGTATGTTAAGGGATATCGAGGATAAATTACAGAAAACCAGCTCTCCGGGGCGGGGGAGGGGAAATCGGGTTAGAGCTGGTTAGGGGGGGGGGAGAGAGTATAGAACCAGCATACTCTTGAAAGTGATAGTACCGTATGATAACACACCCAATTGTCCTTGTATGATTGGTTTTACTTTCCTGCATTGAGCAGAGTTGCACGACTCCCGATTGTTACTAGTCAGTGCGACGGATGTAGGTCTCTTTCTCCCCACCAGCAGTGTGACCTTTCAGGCCACCGATGCATATACTACAGTATGTGGGGATCAGGTGTGCAGCAGAGAGAGTCAGCAGAGGTCAAGAAGATGAGCAAGACCACCATCATCTGCAGTGGAAAAA